ATATTTTGATATAATATTTATTTTTAAAATGAAATATAACGTTTTTATATATTTTTATTAAAACACTTTTTTTATTAGTGTACTACTCCCGCTGCTCGGAAAAAACTGATGCTCAACAAGCACGAAAAAATCATATTTCCTGGTGCGTGTGTTTCCCCTTTTGGTCCTTTTTTCGCCGATGTGTGTGTTTTGGCCTTTTGTCTAGGCACATTGGCAACGCGGTTTTAGTTCAGTCAAGCTGTCATATCGACGCTTTTGCATGCCAGACCAGACCAGAGACCAGTCCAGCCAGCCCCTCCAACTCCAATCCAAACTCAAAAACCAACTCAAACTTGGGACCAACTCTTTTTGACTGGCTATCAGCCACAATCCCTCCATGCAAAACCCCATCCTGCGGTTATGTGATGGTTACATATCATGATTTTTCAATAAATTCAACGTCCATGCGGCACTTTGCTCATTGAATTTTGAACAGCGATCTTTGGATAGGTATGGGCATAAATGCCGGAGAGTTTTAAGGGGAATGGTGAGGGTAAACCATGGACCACGAAAGCTAGGCCTAAAGTTGAAAACAAACAATGGTAATGGATGTTGAAGGAGTTGCAAAAAGGCCAAACAAATGGTTGAGATACCATATCTAAAGTGTGTTTAATAAACAATAGCATAAAGCTTAATTACTTAATTTTGCATTTCTACTTTAATTTTTATGACTTAAACATATAAATGTTTGACTTCTTCATGTTAAAGTGAATATTATTAAAATACAAACATTAACTAGAAAAGCATTAATTGCTAAATACTATTTTAAAACGTATTCTTTCATAAAAATAATTTTACTAAGAAACTTTTCGCATTTCGCAATAACAAATTTAAAAACTTCAAACAAAAAGCCTTTAGTATTTCAAAAGCATATTCATCGTTTCTTTAAAAAGTGTCTGCAGCATATGGATTAAACTTTTTATTTAACTTTTCTATAAAATTAAATTAAATTAAAGCCACTTCCAATCCCCAAACGAAAGCAATCTCACACCGAAAAATATGTTATGCCAACCCATTGCCGTGAAACAAAGCATTTCCGTTAATCAATCTCTTGAAATACCAGCCACGAAAAAAAAGGAGTAATAAATAATTTTCGTACTCTTTGTCGCATATCAAAGACTGGCAAATCCCAAGAAGGACTACCCCATATTTTGCCAACGTACATGGCATATAATCATAACCAAAAGTCTGGCCACCACACTTTCCCATTCCTCAACTAAGTTCTTTACTTACGCATTGCTGCATTAATGCGTATGGAAAACAATTTTTTATGTCTTTTAACGATTCTTTTTTTTTAATGAATTTCGTTTTGGGGTTGCTGCAATATAATTACAGTATGATGATGTGTGAGTTGGGTCTGGGCCATTTTGAAAAGAAGTTTTGGAAATGCGCGACTCGCGAATCGAGGAACCTTTCACTTTTCGGTAAGCCGCATCCTGCGTGTCTCACTTGACGCGAATAAAAAAAATAATACAGAAATGGCTGTAAAACAAAAAAATTTATGAAATTTAACAATGAAAAAAGGGTTCAAATGCTGGACCAAGTATCAGATGCATATATGTTCGCCCATTCAAACTCCACAAAACTCCAACTTTCCCCTTCCATTCGCGTCTGCTGCCAATTTTATTAATGAAAAGTCAAGTGATTTTCATTCAGCCAGTGGGCGTGGCAAACACACGCACAACTCGTTAGGGGTTGTCCGAACCCAAATAAAAAAAATTATTTATTTCAAATATTGAATACAAAAAGAGGTGGAAAAAAATATTCTCGTTTGTGGTACTTTTTTTTGACGAAAATGTTATGAATACTTGTGAAATTATATTTTTTTTGGTGGGATTTAAAAAAAAGGAGGTTGGGTTAAGAAACACCTTTTAAATCTTGATCAAATTTAAATATTTATTTGTTATTTGTTAAAAAATAAATCATTGAAAGAAGCAATCTACACAGGTTGTTTTTAAACTTATTTCTTGAGAACTCATTTGTCCATTTCGAAGTCCGTTTTTACGCCTGCAGATTTCAGCTGCAAATCACCTCGAGTAAAAGTGTCAAAACAATACGAAAAACGCACAGGCGCAGTGTCCTGCCCCCCAAAACTTCCTCCTCCTCATTTCTTCCTTTCTCCCCTTAAAAACACGCACATAATTTATGCCTATGTATATGTACAAGGACCCCAAGGAGATGGGCTGAACAGGATCCAAAGAGCCCGAAGAGCACTCGCAGGACTCGCAGGACTCCAAAAAGGAGCGCACATAAAACGCAGACTGCAGCCAGAAAACGGGAAAACTGCGGAAAAATCAATTTTCTTACGAGCCCAAAATTTCCAGCTAAGGGTGGGATGTGTACTATATATATATATATGTATTTTGTGCGTTTTTTGGGGGTTGCACACGCACAACACAAGCACACACTCATAAGCACACTCCTTGTCACGCACTTGTGCAGCAAATTGTCACCCAGTTTTAGCCAGAAAAAAAAGAAATAAAAATCCATCGAGAAAGAGAAAGTTGTTGGCCGAAAATGTAGCCCGTTGTCTTTGAAGTGCAAAAATGCAGCATAATTTTCGGGCTAACGCAATTAGGCAATTATTAGAAAGTAGGTGTGTGGGAGTGTGTTGTGCCTAGTGTGTTTATGTGTGTGTGTATATCCTGCAGAGTGTCCTGCGTCTGCTAATTACTCATGCCGCACGCATTTGCCGCGGGGCACTGAGGCGTATACACAATCATTTTCATTGGACGTGCATTGAATGAGGAGAGAAACACCAAAGGCGGGGAAACACAAAAAATAAAGGACGAGTGGGTGGCAGATCCTTGGGGAGATGGGTGTGCACTTACAAAAACATTTAGGTATTTTTAAATAAATTGTAAACCAATAAACAACTTAAAACAGTGCTTAAGAAATTGACAGTTAAAATAGGAATAAAAATTTGTTGGTGCTAAGAACATAGAATACTAAAATTACAATTACAGTTTTATAATGTTTAAATTTAAAAGATTTACTTGTGGTAAAGAACCCATTTTCTCACCCTATTTTTGTCCTGTTTTATTCTTACTTTTTTGTTACATGAGTCTACAACAAAATGTCATTAAAGTGACTTTTTCGGAGCCCCTTACCTTGCTGAAAAGCCCTCCACTAAAAAAGTCACGCACTTGCCAAAAAAGTAGCATTTCCAATGACGTAAGCAACAAAAGTTAAATTCTCTTTTTCTGTGTTATTAAAAAAGTCCAATCCCAATGTTGTTGTTGGACAATTGAGCACAGGCGGCAACGAAATGTTGCAACAAAGTTTTCCGCCCCCCCACTACCCAAAAAAAACCCCTCTTCAATCCACAAAGGCGTGACTCTTTCTTCTTCGGCTTTTCCTCTATATTTTCCTTTTCTTGTACATAGGCAGAGAAGGATAAATGTTTTTCTTTTTCCTTACATTTTCCCTTGCAGATTGATGGGGAAAGCTGCAACAAGATTGTGAGGAAAATCGTGGGAGGTAAGAATCCCAGAGGGTGACTATTGAAAATGTGTCAAATTGAGGCAGCAACATTTCGAGTCGATTCGACAGGATTGCTTTTGGTCATTTTTGGGTTCTAGGCAACAAAACACAACAACACTAAAAGGAAAACAAAAGGACTCTTTGGGCTTGACAACAAATTATTTACTGCTTCAAGAATTTTTGACAAGGTATCGAAAATAAAGAAAACTTTTGGGTGCTAACTTCAGAACTTGTAACGAATTGGATTTTGTGTTTTGTTATCAACAACTTTTAGATGCTTTAGATTTAGAGTTTACCTCGTTCAATTGAAGAAACTTTTAACTTTTTTTAAATCACCATTCCAATATTATTAAGAAGGGAAGTATGTTTTGGAAGAAGAAAAAGCTTTATTTATCTAAAATCTCTACCTATTTAAAATCTTTAAAAGGTTTTTATGTTGGGCTTTAAATTTAAAGTGTAAACAACAATTATTATCACATTTTTGTGGAAACATTAAACAAAATTCTTAAATTATTATTCTCTTTTCTCTGTTTAGTGATATGATTAAAACTGACTTCAATAAGATTATAAGATTTAAATCTTATATCAACAATCAATTACATTTTTAAATTTTGGAACCACTTTACTAAATTCTAGCACCCTTTACCCATTTACATAAACGCTCATGTCTTAGTTTGTACTTACAACCTCAAAGCAAATCCACAGCTCAAAGCAACTTTGTAGAGAGAAACCTGCACACAATGTAAGGGAAACCCCTTTCCATTATCCTTTTTTTTTTTTTGATTTCCTGTACAGGAACTGCAATTAGTTGTGAGGCGGCACACGCGCAGCGCCTGTCACATTGGCAATTTGGGCAGCTTACCGCTTCGGCGGGCATCCCTTAACAAAAAAAAAAAAGAAAAAAACTCGTGGCAAATGCAACAAAGACGCAACGCTTAATTAACCCAGGCCGAAAAATTGTTGCAGTTGCACTCGAGGTTTGGGCGCCGCGAATTGAAATTTCCAAAATCCTTTGATGCAGCTGCAGTCAGGGGATTAGGACCAAGGTCTAAGGGACTAAAGGACCAAAAGCTACCCCTAACACTCGAACTTTATCCGAGGGTGGTGTGCATGCACCCAAAGGTCGTGTTCATTATCATCAGCACGTGCCCTTAGAACGATTTTCCTCTTTTTCCGGCCGAGATTTTCGAAATTGCATTTTTGTTTTGGTTGCAGGCAAACTGGCATCCCAAAAACTGGGGGAAGTTTCTCTAAGTGGTGGTGGCTCAAAAGTTTCCACAGCCATGTGTTTTTGAAATGATGGATCTGGTTTTCATTGTTATGGGGCAGGGGTTGGTTTTGCGCAAATTGGTTAACGCACTTTGGGAACACGGAATTGTTTGGCCATGACGTGGCAGGTCCTGTGTGCAACTGACTGGCATGACTAGCAAAAGATACTCAAGATACTGTATCACATTGTTGCTTGGTATAGCACTTACTTAGGGTGGGTATTTCAAACTGGTCCAGGAGGAGCAAAATATTTACCTGCAAGGAAAGAGAAATCGAAATTAGTTTAAGGTTTAAAAGTTAATTTATTAAATACTAAGCAAAATTATTTATAAAATGTTATTTAAGTATTTTATTAAAAAATTCTTTAGTTATAATAAATTAAAGCTTAGAAGTTAATTATTTTTATGATAAAACATTTTTAAATGTATATATACATCACTTTATATAAATATCTTACCAAGTGCCATTTTCTTATTGGCTTGAATTTTTTTTTGCACACAACTGCATTCCTATTATTTCCTCCAATAAGAATAATGCACATACGAACAGTTACAAAAACACCGACTAAACGATCACGAAGTCACTTCGTGCAATGCAAGAAAAAAACTGCCGACGAATTAAAATTCAGAACACGAAGCCGAAAGCGCATGCGAATTGGAATTGCAATGACAAAAAACAAAAACAAAGTAAAGCCGAGCAATAAATTGCAATAAAAACAAAGCAGAGAAAGAGAGAAATGCAACGATCGTACCTCTATCTCTTTCACTCCAAGTGCATGCGCATTCTGATTGGATGCGCAGAAATGGCGAAACTGAGTTGGTTATATTTGCAAACTCTTATAAGAGATAATGACTGCTGACTTTTAAGAATTTTGTTTACCACTCGCAGTTAGTTAATTACTAAAAAAAAAAACATTTCAGCACCTGTTTGCATCTGATTCCATATCATTAGTCATCCGTTTTTGGACTATCTTACTTTGTCTCTTTGCTCATTTATTGCATAATCCACACACACACTGACAGAAATAAAATATAGAACATCAAGCACGTTATATTTGTTCTATAGTGTGTGTGCGCTATCTGAACACGTATCTGTTTTGCTTTGTTTTTGCTTTATAGCTATTTTATATTTTTATACCACAGATACACACAAACATATACATTTGTGTATATGTCTGCCCTCGACGCAATTTCCGTAAATTTAACCTACATTTGATTTCGCTTTTTGTTTTTTTGGCAAAACAACAAGAATTAGCAAAACAAAAAAAAGAGAGCGAGGGAAAATGTGAGATAGCTATGGGGAATGTTTCTAAAATTTCCCATTTTAGGGGAATTTCTGGTGGAAGTTTTTCCTTTTCCTTTCTTTTATTAAATGTCGCTGTCAGCTGCGCATCTGAATTAAATGCAAAAAATATACATATGTAAATGCGAACGCAAATTAAAGTTTTTAGCTATAACGAATTTTTGAATACTAGGGTACCACCCTATTTTTTATTATTTAAAATGTATTATTTAGTTAAAGTATTTTTTAATGCCATATAAAACACTTGTGCCCATTCTCTATTGTCGCTTTTTTTACGCTCTTCCTCTATCTGTTCCCCTTTTCGTGCGCAGCGAACTTTCAAAGCAAAGCAAACAAGCCGAAAAATTCGCAAATATGAATTCGTATGCACACAGCATGCTGTCGCCCTCTCGCTCTCTCACATGTCTATATACATACAGTGTATATACGTATGTTCCTAAATATCTTGTTTGTTCTAAGCTAACCCATACAAAAGCGGATCGAAACAAGGTCAAATGCAGTTATTTGCTCAACAACAAGACGAAAAAAAAAAAACGGATGAAACTGTTTATTGCTAGCTTTTTCGCTCTCTTTTTCAGTTCGTATCTTTAAAGTTTTTTTTTTTTTTATTTCGATTGCATTTGTGAGTGTGTTTGGCTACTTTTTGATTTATCTTTTCCGTTTTAAATGTTTTGTTCCTCTCTTTTTGTTGCAGCCTGCGACTGCGCCGGCAGCTTAAGTTGATTTTTTTTCCCTTTGTATTTTCCCATTGCCTTTTTCAAGGATATTCGGCGCCATTTCTTGTCTTTTGTATTCTGCGCGTGTGAGAACAACAACTTTTGGGTTAGTCAGTCAAAGGAATTCCAGGAATTAGTCGCGCATGCATGAAAGGTGAGAATAATACTCTTGAGATCTCTGCGTATTTGGATCTGGATATTTGAGGAAGAGTGTGTGTGTATGTGTGTGTGTGTTCAAGTGTTTGGCAGTGAATACGAAATTGAGTGAATTGAATAAAATGTGAATCAATTAAGCAATTAATGCACATGATGTATGCAAAACGATGGGAACTCGACGTTGCGGAACCACAATGATCACGATTATGTGAGAAACATTTGGCAAGGCAGTAGAAGAGGTTTAGAGAATTAAGGATTTATGGAATCATCTAGAAATTTAAAATTGATTTTGTGGTTTTAAAGACCATTTACAGTGGTTGCTATATAATTTAGTTTATTATATCATAGCTTATTTTAAATATATAAATAAAAGTCTAGTTTTTCCGATATTTAAAAAGGAGTTTTTGGAGATTAAAGAAATTTACCAATCGTTGGGCGGCATTAAAGTTCCCAAGTGTAACTTAAGAAAAGGCCCTTCGTTGGGCGCCAATAACAATTGGTTGCAACATAGGCCATCATAATGAAGAAGTAAATGTGATTAATATTTACAGCAGAACACATAAATTATAATTATTGTATAAGCACACCTGCACGATCCACAATTGCTGAAATGCAAAACTTTTTCACCACTTGACAAACTCAACGCGGATCTCAAACTCTTGTCGAATTCGCACTCACAGAACGACAATGCACAAATAAATTCAACTAAAATAAAATACAGAGAGTATGCAGTGTATATAAAGCGGATCTATGTGGTGGGACTGACGTCGAACACCCCCGAACACCATACCACCCGACTAAAAATTCCATGTCAAACAATTTATTTACTTTGTATGCCAAACCCCAAAAAAGTCAGCGAAGGAAAAATAAAGAACGCATTTCGGCTGCACCTCTCTCTGTCGCACATCCATCTCCTCATCTCCCTCCCACTCGCACTCAGTCTGCATGTGGAGATCTCCGGACTGGTAAAAAATATATGGAGAGAACAGCGCATTTTGCTGTTATTCATCATTGACCTTGGTTGCAATCTTTGTGTGTATTTGTTTGCTCACCAAATTCAGTTTTTTGTGCGATTTTTTTTTGGGTATTTTTGCTTGCGCATTTCAAGTTTCGGGTGTATATAGAAAAACAACTAAGATTTCTTGCTCTTTTTTGCATTTTAAGTTTTTCAAAGAAATCGTCGGCGATATAATGCAACTCGGGAAAAAAACGGAAGCGAATGAGTGATAAAAAAATATTAATCATCCGCCACATGGGATGAGTGGAAATTTACTGCAAAATCAAGTGCAACTTAGTCAAAATATTTACGCAAACAATTATGACAAAAACAAGTTAAAGATATGGGGAGAAAAAAAAGGAAAGAAATTGTTGTCCATTTGACATTGACGAGCATGAGCAAAAAAAATCAAACTAACAGAAGTTTTGGAAGACTTTTCGCGATGAAAGAAAGAAAGCCGAAAAAGGGGGAAGCAAGCGGCGAAAAGTCGCTAAAAAAAAATATTCGACAACAAATTTGCTCGCACTGCACACAAGTGTCCCAATTCCACGAATCTCTCATTCCACGCTGCTTCCACAAAAAATAAATACAAAAAAATAAACAGCCTTTCGGGTAAATAATAATGCTAATACATAATAATAAGAGGCGAGCAAAAGCTGCAAAAAAATAAACGACGACGGCAACTGCCAACAAACAGTTAGACCGCAGATACAGATACGAAGTGCGAGTGCGAGTGCGGATACAGATACAAATAGGGATAGGGATACAATGGATAAGATACACTAGCTAGCGAAGTAAAGTGTTTAACTTTGGTTATAACATTTACTGATATTCGCGGAACTAGTGTATATTTATGAAATAATATAGTTATATATTTCTTGGAGCACAAGACTATAATTGTTATCGTATTCTATTTTTTTAATTTAACATATTTTATTTTTCAATAAATGGAATTTTTGTGTACATCATTAAAATTAGTAAAAATATATATATGTAACAAGGAAATACATTTTTTTTTTTAATTATTGTTTTGAAATATTCAAATTAAATTAAATTTTTATTTTATTTAAATATTTTTTTTTCTTATTTAAATCTAAGATTTTATTTCTGATTGTAATATAAGTGCACTGTTTAAATATTACTCAGTTTCCCATTTAATTTTTTTCAATTGAGCTTAAGTTATTAATTGTCTTGCTTTTTTTGCACGTTTGTTTCATAAATGTCGACTTCTTTAATTTATGAACTTGCATTCGGCTTCATTAATCCCGTCAGAGAAAAAGTATTTTATCATTCACATACATGCAAGAACATATATATATTTTGTATTTTAGTATATACATTTATTTGCTCTATTATGTCATTTTATTCGACTCTTTATACGTACATTTATTTAAACACAATTCATTTGACTTTGGTTGATGACGTCGAATTTGTTGCTGGATTTTTGTTTATTTACGGAAGCGTTGTGATTTTGTTGTTGTCTTGATTGCCTCTACGATATTTGACATTTAATAATGAATGCATTAGTTGATTTTAATTGATACTGTTTAAAAACTTAGTGGAGAGCAAATTTAAATGGATATACTATGTACCCACTACTTACTACAGCTATAAACTATATTTGTGCAATAAATCAAGCGCGTGTTGTGCATTTTTTTAAATCTAAAACCTCATATATTATCTAATTAAACTTGGCCATGTTAAACTAATTAAAAGTCGCTAAATGACACGAGCTTCAATTCAAAATCGCGCTTAACTTTGTTCTCTCATTGCAACTCAACTTTTTGCACATGCATTATCCACTTATATTCTCCGATCCCCAGACATATATACTACGTGTGTACTCTTGGTTATTTTTAGCTAAATTCAGCTAAATTCATTTTCTGCGTCTGTGTCACGATTAACTTTTTTCCACCCATTTTTTGTTTTTTATTTAGCGATTATCTCATTAAAACACATTTTGTGTGCATTCAATGTTCTTTTGCGCAGTTAACCCCTTGACGATTCTCCCCCCCTTTGCAGAAATACAAGTTATTATTATCATTTGTTATTGCAGTTTGAGTCGTTTCAAAGTCACAAATACA